GCCTAAGGGCACCGAGGCACTAAACTTTTAGGAGGAAATGCACCTAACGTGGGGTTGAATTTATAATCTCACGGGCTGACGATTGTTTCTATGTGACGTCCGGCAAGCCACAAATGGCCCTCCTATGAACAATTATGCCCAAGAACCCCTCACGATGAGTCGGGCTGAGAGTCACGGTAACTCGTAGGCCGGCAATTGTAATCATTGAAAAAAGAAAGGTTTGTGCATAGGTATTTGTGCATATATGTATATCGACGGGCCGTGCGGCCCTGTTACGACGGCTTAACTCAGCTCAGGATCCAAAGGACCGGGCTAAAGACCAGGTACAACGAGCGGATGAGGATCACTGTGTTAGTCCCCTAGATTTTGGAATTAGTATTTTGATGATGCAATGGTTTTCTCTTTTATTTCCCCCCCATCTTTGGTAGCTATCATGTATTCCGGCAGTTGACTGAACTAGTAAAGTATTGTTTAAATGTGTTAAGATCAAAGCATCAATTATCAAAGCAATTTGACTGGATAAAATAAATGCAATAAGGTAATATTTAAACTACCTTAAAAGGATTTACCAGTTACATTTCTTTGATACATCAAATAACACAAAAACATCTCGAACAAAATATTTATTAAGCTGGAACACAAAATGCAATAAGGTAATAATTATTACCTTAAAAGGATTTGTTATCCTACCAGTTAAATAAATAGTTTGTTCGAAATACTAGATGAAGTGACCGAAAGACAAAAGCAAAATGTTTTGTATCAAGAAAATTATACCGGAAAAGTCAAAATGCAATAAGGTAATTTATTACCTTAAAACGGATATTTAAATCCTACCGGTATATATATTTTCTTTTATCACAAAAACATATTTCTTCCTGAGTCATTGAGAACAAATAAATGTAAAATTTTTAAGTACTAATAAAATTATTACTGGACAATAAAAATGCAATAAGGTAAACTTATTTACCTTTAATAGGATATATAAATCCTACCAGTATAATTTTATTAGACCTAAAAATTATTCTGTTCGAACACATTGCCTCGTGTTTAATCCAGAGCCAATCAAAAATCCAGCATGGGTGCAAAGGACGTACAAAGCATTGGGAAGTGCAGTCTAATTGGATAAACGCAGGAGAACTGCAGCAGCTAGGCAGAAAGAGACAAAAAGTTTTATCGGCTCCGAAGAGGAAGATAAACAACAAGTTGTTTATCTTCTGCGATCAAGATTCAACGAACAAGATTAAATCATCTCAACCAACGGATGAGATTAATCTACCGGAGATGCCTATAAATGAAGGCCGAAGCATGAGTTAAAGCGACTAAGTTTTTGAGCTCAAAGCAGAGAGATTCCATAAGCATTCAAAGAATATCTAGCAACTCTGCTTTGACTCATGCTTCACTAAGCTCTTAGAATAGATCATCATTGTCATACTTTTAGAGCTTAGTTCATAGTTGGAGACTAGAATTTCCTTGTATATCACAAGGTGTTGTAAAACACTTCAGGAGGACAGTTGTTCCCGGCCTGAGTGTGGTTAGATAGGTCAGGAGTACCTTTTGATCCCCACTGGATCAATTGAGAAAAACCTAAAGGATTGAGTAGCTTGAAGTGGTGTTGTACTCCTCGTGAAACACCTTCAATCTAGGCTAGAGTTGTCAAGGCTAGATTGGCACTAAGTGTATTGGGCTTAATACATTAGTGAAATCCATTTGAAATAGGATGGGACTGGATGTAGGAGGATTACACCACCTCTGAACCAGGATATATTGTGTGTTGATTTACTTTCAGTCAACAAAGCACACACTGAACACTTCTCACATAAAGATTGGAGTTTACCAGCAGCATCCTAAGCAGTTGTCTTAATTGACCCAACTGCTTATCCTACTGCTTAATTACTCGCTCTCTTTGAGATACAAGAGCTTCACAATATCACAACAAAAGGGTCTGTTTCATTAAGTTTTCAGGAAATACCACTTAAGGCATGGCAGTTGCCTCAACAGTCTCCTAAGGACTACACAACTGCTGAGCCCACTGCTCACACAAAAGTATTTCCTGTGAACATCTTGACATTACTAGACCTTTACATCTTTATCTCTAAGAAGTCTGTTCAAAATAATCTCTGTGATTCAGGGTGATAACCCAGCAGGTACCTCTACAGTTCCCTCACTATCACCCAACTGCCTAAGACCACTGCCTAAGTAAAACCCTCTACTTACTTGGCCCAAAGCACATCTTCAGAAAGCCCACATCATCCTGAGAAACGCCATATAATCAAACCTTCCATACCTTCACCATTACTTCAGCAGGTGCCTCAGCAGTTCCCTGGTTTCCATCCAACTGCTGAGACAACTGCTCTCATTTAAGGTTGATTATCAATCCATCTCAGCACATCATCACGAAGCTCTTCCCACTCTAAGAAAGATTCTAAATAAACCCTCATCATACTTCAAGTATTTGATAAGCAGACGACTAAGCAGTTCCCTGCTTCCTAGCCAACTGCCTAGCCAACTGCTCACCAATACGCAAAGATTTCATCCATCACAGAAAGCTGTTACACATTACATAAAGGGTAAAGACTTCCGTTGTGCATCTATTAATCTCTCAAAAGATTATAGATCAACTCTTCTAGAGGGAAATATCTGTAAAGGTCGAAAAGATTTAAAAGTCTATTCACCCCCCCCCCCTCTAGACTTTTACCCTATCCGGGACCATCACACTGTCTTATGCAGCACGATCGGCCCCTCAGCGCCATCGTATCCCATTCATGGTCGGCATGTCCATACTTTCTTGGATGGCGACCACCGTCTTATGCAGCACGATCGTCCCCTCAGCGCCATCGTGTCCAGTTCACGGTCAGCTCATCCATTCCTTCGAGGATGGCGACCACCGTCTTATGCAGTACGATCAGCCCCTCAGCGCCATCGTATCCCGTTGATGGTCGGGCCGTCCATACTTTCTTGGATGGTGACCACCATCTTATGCAGCACGATCGGCCCCTCAGCGTCATCGTGTCCAGCTCACTGTCACCTCGTCCATTCCTTCCAGGATGGCGACCACCGTCTTATGCAGAACGATCGGCCCCTCAGTGCTATCGTATCTCGTTCACGGTCGGCCCGTCCATACTTTCTTGGATGGCGACCACCGTCTTATGCAGCACGATCGGCCCCTCAGCGCCATCGTGTCCAATTCACGGTCAGCTCGTCCATTCCTTCTTGGATGGCGACCACCGTCTTATGCAGCACGATCGACCCCTCAGCGCCATCGTGCCCAGTTCACGGTCAGCTCGTCCATTCCTTCCAGGATGGGACCACCGTCTTATGCAGAACGATCGGCCCCTCAGTGCCATCGTATCCCGTTCACGATCAGCCCGTCCATACTTTCTTGGATGGAGACCACCGCCTTATGCAGCACGATCGGCCCCTCAGCGCCATCATGTCTAGTTCACAGTCAGCTCATCCATTCCTTCCAGGATGGCGACCACTGTCTTATGCAGTACGATCGGCCCCTCTGCACCATCGGATCCCGTTCACGGTCGGCCCGTCCATTGTTTCTTTGATGGCGACCATCGTCTTATGCAGCATAATTGGCCCCTCAGCGCCATCGTGTCCAGTTCACGATTAACTCGTCCATTCCTTCCAGAATGGCAACCACCGTCTTATGCAATACGATCGGCCTCTCAGCGCCATCGTATCCCGTTCACTGTCAGCTCATCCATACTTTCTTGGATGGCGACCACTGTCTTATGCAGTACGATCGGCCCCTCAGCGCCATCGTACCCTGATCACGGTCGGCTCCGCCCATTCCTTACAGGATGGGGACGACCGTTTTATGCAGCATGATCGGCCCCTCATCGCCATCGTGTCTAGTTCATGTTTGGGATCACTATTCCTTTCTAGGATGTGACCCGTCACTGTATATCAGGCCTGACACACCCTCTTTCATACATTGCACTCATACATTACATGTATTCACACATTTATGCATCACATCTCATATATTCATACATACACACATGCATTGTGTTCGTCTTATCCATATTTTTTGAGGCAACTTGGTTCAGGCCTCTTAAGGTCCTCGTATAGCAAACCCAGGTTGTAGTCCTTTACTCCCGCCTGATACATTCAGGGGGAGAGGGTCCGGGGAAGAGCGTCCCTTGCCCGATCCAGTCGGGAGGGGGAGCGCTTTACCGGTAGATTATGTTCAGAGGGGCAGACACCCACCCATGTAGTAGGATTGCTCGAAGACTCAAGTCCAAGGAAGACAAAGGAAGAGCGCGAGCAAGAATATACTTTCTCGAGCAGATTCGCACGCTCACTACTCAATAAACTAGGGGACTTGTGTTGAGATAGATTACCCCGACCTACCACTGTACAGGAACCCGAGACATTATTTGGTACGGAGCCCAATCAATGAGGCCCGTTTCGGCCCATTTTTGGCCAACCGGCCCACCTTGCCCCAACAGGCCCACCTTGGCCGCTTGGCCCATTAGGGTGGAGCACCCCTCTCCCTTTCCTCTATAAATAGGAGGATTCCCCTCCTTATTAAGGATCCACTTTTCTCCTCCCTCTCTCTTTAGCTAGTTTATACTCCATTAATGGAAGCTTGTACATTGTAATGGTGAGGAGAGCATTAATAAAATGAGAGGGCTTGGACATTATCCTAAACAGTCCCGTGGTTTTCTCCCTTTCCGGATTTTCATGTCAAAAAAGAGTGTTCATACCAATTAATATCTATATTTACTATATCGTGTTTGTGACACCGCACCCGGGTGTATTTGAATTTGAAAATTCAACAAGTATTTGAATTTCCTAGCGAATAAAAATTGTGCACAGAATGACTTATTTAAATAATGAATGATTAATTAAATTATTTATCGGGTCCATTATATTCAGAATGGGCTACCAAATAATTAGTTGGGTCATCATAATAATTATAGAAGCCCAATAAAATGTCAAACGAGGTTGAGGAAAATGTTTGGACAACCCAAGTGTTATTTTTTTTAAGGGTTAAAAATCAAATTTCCCATAGTGACATTACAAGGCATGAAAATAAAAGCACATGTCCTAAAAGCAAAAGACATACACTGATACACATAATACATCTATCTAGCAAGCTAGCTAGCTAGCTAGAATCCAACCAGTTAAACAGTTTACTGCACATCAACCCCAACATAAGATAACATTCGGTCTAACAAGCATATTTTGCATGATCACGATGAGTTAAGTTTCAAACTCTTACCACCACCACCGCCATTTCTAAGGAGTTAGAATTCTGAACTGATGTCACACAGATAACCTTGGCTACAATAGATAAATGGATTGCTTTTCATTTCTTCTTGGTAACATTTATGGGCCTTGGTGATTTTCTGGCCTTTGCCATCTCAAAGTCCTCAACAACATTAACTTCTTTGGGGTCAATGGAGGAGCTACATGTGCCAACCTTGCTAGGAGTCCTCAGTTTACTGCTTCTGCTCACCATGCCTTTGAGAGGATACCAAAGGTCATCAGGATTTTCAGGTAAAGAAGCAAGGTCAAGTTCAAAAGCCCCAGCTGGCACACCTTCTCTCTCAGTTCCAGACAATCTGAAAGAGGGAATTCTGTGGGACAATCTGTAAATCTCATTCTGCTTTATGAAGAAAGATGAACCAGACAAATCAGTCCCACCCTGAAAGAGAGAGACATATCCATCCAGCTTATTCAAGTATCCAACTCTAATCCCCACATCATCAACATAATCAGAAAGAACCTCCACGACTTCATAATTGAAGTGCTGGTGTTTTTCAGGCTGGGAGCTCCAGCCGACATCCCACCCTCTGAAAAGGGCCCAAATCTCCCCTTTCCTAGGGTATATGATGTATGCACCCTTCCTATCCTTTGCCAGTTTTGGCATAATTATACGTTATATTATATATTACTAGTATAGTACCCGTGCGATGCACGAGACATAAAGTATTTATAATTTTTAATGATGCAATATTAATGTAAGACATTTATTTTAAGAACATTGAAATACATCTATGACGGTTGGTAATAGTTTTTAGTGATTATACTAAATGTATATATAAAATAAAAAAGGGTTCATCACATGAGAAATTACACATTTAGAAAAAATTCCAGATACACAACATTTATTATGTGAGAATGTTACGCTTCGCTTAGCGCTTTCGCTTTTAAGCAAAGTTCAAGGTCATCGCTTTTGGCTGCTTTTCGCTTTAAAAAAGTTTGCGATTGTTGAATACGTTTGTTTTGTTGATGACTAACCATACAGGGGAACAGCGGATAGAACCGCTCACAGTTCCTTGAGTAACAGGAACGAATGGATATTATTAATTTGATTGACTAACCATGCAGGAGAAACTAAAACACAATCCGTGATATGATTTGAGTTAATACGGATTGTACCTACTTGTTCTTTTATTGCTATGATTTCCTATATATAAGTAATTATTCTCTTTCCACAATTGATATAGCTTAAGTATGGTACGTAAAATATTCCATAGCTACACGGTTGTGACAGAATAAATGCTGGTTGAAATATATTCCATATCTAAATGAGTTGATTGCTTATATTGAGAAAAATATTCTTACCTTCTTGAATATTGACCAAAGCCTACCTTATTCGGTAATTAATTGATTGACTCAAAAAGATGCACGAGATATTTGTATCTAGTCTTAGTCCAGGGCCGATATATATGATGGTTAATCTGGCTGCCTTAAACATTGAGCTTGAATATGGGAAGTATTATAAAGAAGGAAATCAATTCAAAATATTGGAGCAAGTCCCAAGATTAGAAGATCAACTATTCAAGGAAGGATGCTTAAACGGTCTGCCCAAGACAGCCTATATAAACGAAGAAGCCAAAGAGAAATGGGTGTGCTTGACCAAGCTTCTATTGAGATATATACACTAGAATATTTACTAAGTCCAAGGCACCTGAACCTGCTCACGGAGTTCCAGACTGAGTTTCCTTTTCTTTCTTCTTATTGTAATTGGGTTTTTTGAGGATTGGCTAAGTGTAGCATCCTCGGGTCGGTTAGTGTGTTGTGAGAGCTTTGTTGTAAAGCTGAGAGGCTCTCTACCCGCAAGGTAGAGATGCATAACTCTTCCTAGAGACGATAGAGTTGGGGTGGCTCAAGGGTAGATTAGAAGAGTTTCCCTTGTAATCATTCAAAGGCTTTTTAGTGAAGTTGTTCAAATTCCTCCGAGGGAGGTCGAGGTTTTTTAATCCCTTTGAGCCAAGGGATTTTTCCTCGTTAAATCCTTGTGCACTTTATTATTTCGTAATTCCCTAGACCCCACACTAGAACTGTGCGAAAAACTGCCACGGTTCCACACACACACAATTCACCCCCCCCCCCCCCCCCCTCTTGTGTTGCTAATCGTTTCATCAATTGGTATCAGAGCCGGTCTTCAGCACATAAAGGTTAAAACCTTGGGAAGAGATCCGGCAGCATGAATACGGTTGAACGATTGGAGGAAGGATACTCGACTCAACGACCACCGTTGTTCAACGGCAAATTTTATCAATTCTGGAAGAGTCGAATGGAGAACTTTATCAAGGCTAAGAACTACCAGGTATGGAACATAATTGAGGTAGGCGATAACATCATCACTAAGGAGGATGCCGAAGGTAAGGTTATCCCTAAACCCAAATCTGAATATACTTCTGATGATTATTGTAAACTCGAGCATCATGCTCAAGCATTGAAATATTTGATTTGTGGACTTGGTCCGGCTGAGCACAACCGGGTTCTTGGATGTAAATCCGCAAAACAAATGTGGGATTTACTTGAGGTTACGCATGAGGGTACCTCGCGTGTAAAAAGATCCAAAATTGACATATTTATGCGTCATTACGAATTGTTCGTGATGAAGCCTAAAGAGTCAATTAGGGATATGATTACACGCTTTACTAATATTATTAATGAGCTCTCAGCACTTGGAAAAGACATTACTGTAGAAGATCAGGTGAGAAAAGTTATGAGAAGCTTGCCCTCCGCGTGGAAGCCTAAAACTACAGCAATAGAAGAAGCTAAAGATCTCTCTACCATGACGCTAGAAGACTTGATCGGCTCACTCATGACATATGAGCTAGGCCTACAAGAAGAACAAGATGCAGAAAATGTGAGAAAAGAGCGAGGAATAGCTCTCAAGGCTCGAGAAGAAGAAGAAGAATCCGGAAGTGAATCGGAAGATGAAATGAGCATGTTCGCCAAGCAATTCGGAAAGATGTACCGGAAATTCAAAGGCAACCGAAATAAACAAGGTAAAAAGGGTTTCCAATCTTTTAATAACCAAGGTTGTTTCGTTTGTGGTTCCTTTGAGCACAGGGCAAAAGATTGTCCCCAAAAGAAAAATGATAGATCCTACGACAAGAACAAGACCAGTTCCCATCGGAGGTCCAGTGAAGATAAAGGGTTCAACAGAGACCTCAAGAAGGCAATGATGGCAGCTTTGGGAGATTCATCCGATGATGAAGACGAAGAAGAAGAAAAAGGCCTAAATCATGCAGGATTGTGCCTCATGGCTAATTCCGATGTAGAATCCGACCAAGAGAATTTCGAGGTAAACTTGGAAAGCTTTCTTTCTAAATTTGATTCCCTCTCTAAAGGCAAGGTTCGGAAGATTTTTAAAAGATTAACTATCGAACTAAATCAAAGTCTTTCTTAAAACGATCATCTTAAATCACAAATCACCGAACTTGAGTCTAAACTCGAGGAAGCCACTAGAGCCAAAATAAGGCTGGAAACAAAAGTGGGAGAGTTAATAGATGAAAGGCTCAAGTATAGTGAAGTGGTTTTAGAACAAGATAATCTCATTTGCTCACTCAAGCTCGATAGTATGAATAAACAAGTTAATGACGAAGAAAAACTTCTAAGAAAAATTCTGGACATTGCCTTGCTCATTAATCATCTCAATCGCCTTGAGGACGAGAGACAGGATTTCAAAAACAAACCGGAATACCAACCATATAGTACCAAGGTAAGAACCAGGTCTAGACAGCATTCTAGAATTGGACCCTCTCGGTTCAAAAGAAAGGAAAACGAGACTGCTGGTCTCGGATACATTCTAAGAGATACTCAAATGAATCAAAAACCGAGTTTTCAGAACCAACCCTTTTATGGTAATAGAACTAGAGGACAAACCAGTTCTAGACCTTACCATAGATAACCTAGAACTGGACCAACCTGGTTCGACAAGCTGGTTCAATGGCACAAAACAGGTTATGGACAAACACCTAACCAGGAATTTTATAAAAGGGGCAAAGATCTTTTCGGAAATCGGAAAACCAAATATGTTGATACATATGATAGCCGAATTTGCGGGCATTGTGGCAAAGACGGACATCTTAGGTATCAATGTCACTCTCGACAACAGGCCTTAGAGAGAAGCTTTAATTTCAGTAAATATCCCTCAAACCAATATAAAATGGAACCCAAGCAGGTTTGGGTTCCACGCACTAAACCTTAATCCTGGAACAGCGCCGAGTGAGGGGGAACAATCACTAGTTCCTTGACAGTGGTTGTTCTAAACACATGACAGGAGATAAATCTTTATTCCTCTCACTACGGCCATTTAGTGGTGGAAAGGTGACATTTGGAGACAACAGCAAAGGAGAAATCATTGCTGTGGGGAAAATTGGAAAGTCACCCGACCATGCAATAGACAATGTATTCCTAGTCAAGGGTCTAAAGTTTAATTTGCTTAGCATTTCTCAGTTTTGCGATCGAGGTAACAGTGTAGTTTTTGATCATAATGTATGCCGCATTGTCAATAACGAATCTCAGCAAGTCATACTAGAAGGCAAGAGACTTGAAAATACATATAAAGTTGATCTCGACTTATTGTCAAGCATAAGTTTAACCTGCCTAAGCGTTATTGACAATGATCCCCTACTCTGGCATAAAAGATTGGGCCACGCTAGTTTTTCATTAATAAATAAACTCAAAAATAATGAATTGGTAGTCGGGCTACCTAAAATCAAATATTCCCTTGATCATATTTGCTCTGCCTGTGCCACCGGAAAACAATCTCGATCATCTTTTAAAACAAAGAATTTTGTGAGCACAAGCAAGCCCATTGAACTAATCCATATGGATTTGTGTGGTCCAATGTCAGTCCGAAGTCGGGGAAACAAAGAATATGTGTTAGTTATTGTTGATGACTTTTCACGATATACTTGGACTATCTTTCTTGCAAGTAAGAAAGATACGTTTAATGAGTTTGTTGTTTTTGCAAGGAAAATTGAGCATCAAACAGGGCTGCACCTAATTAAGATTCGATCTGATCATGGAACTGAATTTGACAACTCACTATTTGATGCATTCTGCAAAGAATGAGGCATAGACCACAACTTCTCTGCTCCTAGAACTTCTCAACAAAATGGGGTAGTAGAACGGAAGAATAGGACCCTGGAGGATATGACTAGAACAATGTTGATTTCTAGTGGTCTGGCAAGAAACTTCTGGGCAGAAGCACTTAACACAGCGTGCTATATAATTAACCGTGCTATGATCCGCCCACTCCTAGGGAAGACACCCTACGAACTACTCAAAGGAAGAAAACCAAACATCAGTCATCTAAGAACATTTGGATGCAAATGTTTCGTCCACAATAATGGGAAGGACAATATTGGCAAATTCGATGCAAGAAGTGACGAGGCAATCTTTCTCGGATATTCTACTCACAGCAAGGCTTACAAAGTTCTAAATAAGCGAACTCAATGTGTGGAAGAAAGCATCCACATAATTTTTGATGAAGCCCTCTCATTAAAGCCAAGGCAAGATGATGAAGGAGATATAGGAATCCTCCGCAAAGAAAATCACCCCCATGAAAATGTTGAAACAAGCCATGACCAAACTGAGGAATCACTGGACAATGAACAAAACAAACCTAGAACTGAAGAAGGACCCAGACTAACCACGACTAGTCCGATTGTAGAACCAGCTGGTCCAGGTCCAGATACCCTATACGAGTTTGTGGATCAACCCAACGCTCCAAGAGGATGGAAGC